TATGGTGTTGGTTTTACCTCATTTTCGCAATTTGGTTGAAATGATAATACCTTGTGTATCGTAACTAGCAATTATGGAAATCATCATGAACACGGTGGCAGAAGATCAAGAATCAGGTACGTTCTATAAGGTCTTCCTGTCGCTCCGACCATTTTACGAGGAAGAGGTCAAATCAGCATCACAATTAAAGGATATTGCGACCAATCAAAAGGCCCAGCCTTCTCAATTTTACTATATATATATATATATATAGTAATATATTCCTGCATAAACTTCCTTCTTCATCGTGTTTATACTTTTTCATACTTGCATAACGCCGTTATCATCCACTTAAACACGTTCAAATGTGGCGCATTTCCTCTCTTTACTCCTTGGCTTTTAAGAACCCAATATTTACTTTAAGGAAGAATACCGAAGAAAAAACTTTCATCGGCCCTTATTATGTCTCACTCTAAAAGAATGCTAAATTCAAATCATATAATAAGCCTATTTATACTCTCATTTTCCCCAGGTATCTACATGAGGGAAAGGTCCTATCAATAAATTTAAACTTGTTCAGCTAACTATAACCACAGTTTAACCTATATTTTACTTCTATATCCTCCATCTCACTCCACACGAACCGAACAGTCAAACTAATCCCAACTTCTAACATTCCTGTCATTTTATTTAACGCCTCTAATGCTGATCTCTAACAGGTGTTACGGGTCCACCAGGTGAAGTGGGAACCATTGGAGTCCCCGGAGAGAAGGGTAATCCCGGAGAAGATGGACTACCAGGCTATGGGCAGAAGGGCGTCAAGGGAGCAAAAGGGTCTCAGCCATTGCCAGGAGAAAGGGGTCCCAGTGGGACAAAAGGGGAACCCGGTGAGCCGGGTCTTCCAGGCCTCGATGGTCGACAAGGAAAACCTGGTCAGAAGGGAGTCCAGGGCCGACAAGGAAAGCCTGGAACCGGAGGTCAAGAGGGCCTGCGTGGTGACCCTGGGCCACCCGGACCTCAAGGTGTTGAGGGTCCTATGGTAAGCAGATGGTAATACTTTTACGAGCATGAGCATACAAAATTTGGTCTCCAAGCTCAAATCTATTTCATTTTCCGTATTTGAGTAGAGTTTCAAGAGTTTCTACTACCAGTACTTCATCACCTTAAACGAAATAGGGTGAATACATCTCAAATCTATCTTGTTCGAATAGGTATTAGCCTTGTATTTATCAAAACTTGTCTGGGGGTGGAATTACCTGATGATGGAATACAAAATTGTAAAATTATATTGTTACTTGTATATGGCGACTGTGAATGACATTTTTTCTTGTGACTGGTAAATCCACTGATCTAAAATTGGCAGTATTTTGTATGAAACTCCCTGGGTACCCATATGACTGCAATCGTTTTCACAACAGAGCTTAGTTGCCTTGAGGAGCATTTTATTATGTCCATTTTTTATGAAGTTGCCCCAATTGCTTTTATGTACAGCCCTGTGTTATCATCTACGAGTAATATAGTATTCTTTTGTATTTATCTGATTCATTTGTTGGAAATCGTCTTCTCGCATTCTTTAATGACTTTACCGATATTCCCACTTCTCGAATTCGGTCATCCCCACTTGAATGAGATTTACTCCGATAAGACCCAGTATTTATATATAGTAGTGCTTGTTTATGAAATAAATTGAACTATCAATAACCTATTCTCAAGCTTAGTATCATGGTTATTTATTAAACTCCGGTTTTTTATCACGTCACCATTGTTTCTTCTGCCAAATCTCTTACTTTTTAAAACACCCTAACCAGGACCTGATAATTTGAATGAAATAAAAGTTGAGTTGAATAAATTTGGCGTGAAAATAGAGATACGGCTCTTTATTGTCAAGATGGAGGGCCACCATTGAATCTTATTCATTCTTCATTTCTTACATTTCCATTCTAATAATGATATCTATTAAATCAAAAAGTTTCCTCCCTTCTATATATTTCCAATATTCTGGAAAGCACTTTAGTCTTTTGCTTCTCAATTTTGCGTAATTTATTGGCCAGTCCATATTTATCTACCCATAAAACTTTACTGGTGGTTTAGCTTTAAGTAATCTCATGAACATTGGTCAGCAGATATCACCAACAAATTAGTTGTCATGTGGGCACAAAGCTTTAAGCCAATATAATCTGGAGAAATTGACAAAATATTCTCTAAAGAGGGACATCAGCGGGAAAGTTTTGCCTCTTAATATATTGTTCTGATGCCCCAGTTTCTCAGAAATTCAGTTATCTGTTTTTAAAGCCAACAGAAATATAAACTTAGAGACAGAATAGAGTTATCTAACCCCCTGTTTTATCCTTAGTATCTGTTTCGCCCATCCTATTTCTTGGTAAAATAATAATCCAATCAATAAAATATAATAGAAAAGTGTTTTAAACTAAACTTTTATTCAACCTTCTCAATTCCTTATCTGGGTGATCTGGACACGAAAATTCTAGTACTGTCATGACTAAATCTTCAGATTTATTATACACAATAAAAAAATATTTCGGTATACGGCCTCAAATATAGGCGTTAGAATGAAGGATTAATAGAAATCAACAACCTTGCCAGGATTAAAAAGTGAAAAAGATATCTGCCTCGTGGATAATATTAGAGTGTAGAGAAAGTATGGAATTTCGGGTATAGAGTAATCGGCCTGATTTCTAGTTATGGCTCTATTGTCCTACTTGACTCATGACTATTGCATACACCTAACACACAACCTCTTAGCACTCAAAGAGTAGGTAATTTCACAATTAAATGTACGACTTAGTAGCGCTATATGGTGGGATTTGAATATTAGAAAATAGCCTGAAGATCATAGCCCTTTTTGAGGCTTAAAGAAAATGGCTGTCAAATGAGATCAGAAGTTTATTACCTATTTATCATCAAGAGCTGATGTCTCCGAATTAAAATATAGCTGGAGGCCTCTAGTATAAACTTATTCATTTTTCACTTCTGTGACTGGACTAGCAAGGCCTGTTAAAAATATTTTCATGAATATCAATCCTTTTGTTTCTTAGCTATTCTACAATTCTTCAAGTCTTTGTCTACAGTGACAGAGTTCTCGCTTAAGGCTCCTATCCTCTTAGTAAATGCAATTAAGAATATAGGGGAATTAAAAATTCGGAAACCTTAAACAAATTACTTTTCCATAAGTTTTGATGGGTTCCATGAAGGGTTCGTACTTCCCTAGTTTTATGGCTTCTTGGCTTTCTTACAAATGAAATTAGCTTTTGCTTTTAATACTTTAGTGCAAGTTATTAGGTCATTCTCTGTTCATATTAGCGAAAATAAGAATATAGGAATGGTGAAGCTTCGTTTCTCAATCTTCCATTGTAGGCCTTTCTGCATACTTCTCACTTGGCATGTAGCCATGCTACTAGCTGCTTTTTTCGTATGTTTTTTGTTGCCCCTGTGGAGCAAGGTTAGTTCTATAGATGCTGACTCAAAAACACGTTCGTTGGGTCTATGAGGAACAATCTATTATATTTCCATACACTTAAATTGATAAACATAGTAGAAAATATAAATAATTTTTTTGAGATTTGCGCACAAATTAATCCAAATAAAAATACAGTTTTTTCAGTTTCCAATGATTTAGTGTTTCAGTGTTGTGGCTTACATCAACTGTATCTAGTTCTCCTATATAAAGAGAGGGGACAATTCAGCTGAAAGGCTCTCATGTATGCCCATAAATTGCCTAATAAAAGTTCATCTAAAAGTTGTAAGCATCAATAATTGTTTTTTGACAAAGCTTTTAGTTCGGTATATGCAGTCAAAATGTAGAAACCTCTATTCTTCACAACATGTTAACATATATAACATAGTCCGCATGAAAATTGGGCTTTTACTAAGAGTTTTATGGAACCTTGGTTGCATGAGGTGATGAAGGACCAATTGTTTGATTTTTCTAGAATCATATGAGTAGACCTCTCTTTTTCATTTAATTTCACATAACCTTGCTTTCCAAAGGGTATACTCATTCAGGGTGGACTGTAGTTTCTACCTGGCTTACGTATCATCAGCACCCGCAGCAATATTTGAACCAGTGTAGTGCAGCGTATAATTTCAACTTATTGCTCAATACATGTTTGCTTCATTGAAAATCCCAAAACAGAATGTGATATGGAAAAGTACCTAGCCTTATTTGAAATTTACATCTGCCCTGTGACCCAAGGGTACTCTTGGCAGTGTGACGCAATGGTAGCATGTCGAGATTATAGGCTGAATAATGCGGGCTTGATTCCGGCTGAAGGAACTGGTAATAGGATCTAGTCAAGTTAAAAACTGCAGTCTATCCTGGATGATAATATCTTTTGGGAGGCAAGGCCATCTAAAATTCAATTGGAAAGTGAGGTATACCCTCTCATTACTTCATTAATTTATGCAACCTTGGGTGAATAGAGCTTTTATTTAAGATTTGTCGTATATAAGTAGAGTTTTGAGACTACCAGTAAATCAATTATATGAGATGTATTCACCCTATTTCGTTTAAAATTATAAGGACTAGTAGTAGAATTTTCCCACAATGATATGAGTCCATCATCACCTTAAACGAAAAAGGATGAATACATCTTATATTATTCAAAATTGACCGGTTGTTTCAAAACCTATTCAAACGGAATATATAATTTAACATTTACTTGACAAAATGCGTCCTTCCTGCATGAACGACATTCATTTACCTTATTTTTATTTGTCCTTTTTTACTTTTGTTATTTGTAACAGGGTGAAAAAGGTGTAAAGGGCGCACGTGGTGACGTACCCCGCGAACTTGTTCAAGGTTCCAAAGGTCAGAAGGGTGCCAAAGGTGATATTGGCCCAACAGGTTCGAAGGGTTTGGACGGAGAAAAAGGAGAAATGGGAGAGCGCGGTCAGCGTGGGAAGCCGGGCCCACAGGGCGTGACTGGCGAAAAAGGTAATAAAGGCTTTCAAGGCGGCCAAGGTCCCAGGGGTCCACGCGGCAGAGTGGGACCTAAGGGCTGGATGGGCGGCAAGGGCATTGTTGGGCAGAAAGGATACAGAGGAATAACGGGTAAGTTGAAAGTCGCTTAAACTTTCCTTCGTTTGATCGTTATATTTTTGTTTATGGATGATAAAAGCTAAAAAAATAGGTGTTCCTCAAATGATTTATGGCAAAACTGCTACGAAAATCCACTGCCTTCTGAAGCATGAACAAACTATTGGTTTGCCCATCACGAGTGGCTTATTAGCGTTTAGAAACAACTAGAATCCATAGTATAATTAGGTTTTGGTTAATCCACCCATTGGATAACTAGGCCCATGAGCAAAGCTGCTTTACTCTAAATTCCTTTTATATTTTCGGTTAAAGAGCCCTTAAGTAAATTGTAAAATAATTCATAGTCAAAAATGCTGAGTAATACAAAGCCCAAATCTTGTTACAGTTTTGATTATGAAAATCTATAGCTAGTCTTAGAAACCTAGATTTTCGAGAAAAAAACTTTATATAAGTGAAACATGTATGCTCAATTTCTACCAGGTTACAGTGATACTAGCCCCTTTCCTATGCATGTTTTTGAACCCTTACCTTTGCAGGTGTTAAGGGTCAAAAAGGACCCCAGGGCGACTCTGGCCAAGCTATTACCTCTCCAGAAGGATTAAAAGGCATTAAAGGAGAAATGGGACCCCGCGGACCTACTGGAGCCAAAGGAGATTCCGGCGAACCCGGTGAGCGCGGCCCCATCGGTGAACCCGGAAGACCCGGCCCAACTCTCGAAGGAGTTCCTGGCCGTGAAGGAGAGCCTGGTATTCGGGGATCGCGTGGCGAACGTGGTGAGAAAGGCTTCCGAGGGCCAAAAGGCTTTTCTCGAACAGAGTTAGGCCCAACCGGTGAGAAAGGCGAAAGAGGACCCAAGGGCATCAAAGGAGAGCAGGGACCACACGGACAAGAAGGGGATTCCGGCGAAAGAGTAACTCATAACATAGCTTGGGAGATATATATTGACTTTTATTGTGATGCCTTTTGAACTTTTTATTAAGATAACGCAATAAAACAACCTTAAGTATCAAAAATATATTATTTAATTTTAAATATAAGATTTTAATAATACTTTTGGCTTGGTAAGAAACGTTTAAGTAGCTCCTTAACGAAAAAAATACGAGCTCAGGGCCAAAAAGGGGGCAATTTCATAATTGCTACTCCAACTTTAGCCCATTAGGCAAGAAAGCTGACTCCCAGCCATAAGAAGAATAATAAATTTATGAAGACCAAAATTGTGTGGCCTTTAATGTATATGGTGGCGGTCTGCTTTCGTTGTAAAGAAGTTGTTTGACCTTGCTTTCACAACTTGGTCATACTGGCAAGAAGACCTAGAGGAACACACCTTGACCGGAGTTCGTATTAAGAACGATAATTTACAGAGTCGGATCATGGATTTTGTACATTCTCAGACGTTGGCATCGTCAGTGAGCCTTGCCAGTCTTAGCACCACGCTACAAGTCGTCAAGGAGAGAAGGGAAATCGATCATTTGATCATTTGTCTGCTAAGCAATATTGGTATGTTTCCTTCTGTCCTGGGGTATTCATCTATCCCATATACTGGTATCACCCTTTAAATATCACAATTTCTTACTTGCTTATACAAACCTAGTTGGGGTGTGCTCTTTTGAAAATCAACAG